GGACGTGCTGCCAAGGGCAGCTCCCAGTGGTCAGAGGGGCCCCACCCCTGCCCTGGAGGCAGTGACTGGGGACGGGGGACTTCCCTTGTGCCACACACGGGCTCTGCAGCCACGTCTGGATCCCACGCTGGGCCCCAAAAGCAACCACATGGAACGTCCCAAGGCCACACTGGAGCCGTGAAGAGACACGATGCACAGGAAGTGCCAGTGGAGGGGCCTGGGGCCCTTGAACAGAAAAGGACCCCAGCCCCGCTGCCACCCTGACTGTGGCCTCTCGAGGCCTGAGCAGAGGACTGGCCACATGGAGCCTGCGCTCCTGACCCCGGGAGCTCTCATGACAAGAACAGGACGGCAGAGCACACCTGTCGGCAGCACACAGCAAGAAACGTCTGCTGCCACCTGCAGACACGTGTTTTCTCTGGCCGGGAGCGGCCCCACCACTAGCTAAGAGAGTGTCACGGAAGACTCCGAGAGGCTCTTGAGCCACGTATCTCGGGACGGGCTGGATGCACCCTGGAGGGCACCACAGCACATGACCAGCGAGGCTGGGGTCCAGTGCCACCGTGGCAGCCGCCGCCCCTCGGGCTCATCCAGGATCTGCACACGGACACTTGGGGCGTGGCCTCCAGGCGACACTTCCACTTAGAAGAACGCCTTCCTGCCGCCACCGCGGCGCTCCTGCCAGCTCACAGGAGGCCACATCAGGAGGCAGCACTGATGTCCAGGGTGCAGGACCGTCCTGGCGCAGCCGTCGTGGATGGCGCAGTATTACAGCAACTCCTGGAAGAAACACTGAGTCCTGAAGAAGGCTGTTCCATTAACAGCTGAGCAGACAGAAAAGTTATCTTGAACTGAGGAGAAAATCGTGGGGCCGAGTTCGCAAAGCCACCCCAATCCCGCAGACGGTGCAGCCCAGTATGCGGAGCGGACCCTCGGGCAGGCACACGCGTGCAGCCGAGATGGCCCCCAGGGCCCTCGGCGAGCGGAAAGGCCCCAAGGGATGCACAGACAACACCCGTCAGCCTCTGGGTCTGTGGCCCAGGCAGGGTGCAGGCAGCGAGGACGGAGGCATCTGCCTCACCTGGCAGACCGGGCGCCCCACTTTCCCACCACTTCCTTTGATCGGACCATCTCGGCATTCGTCTGTGAACTTGAAGTGCCCATGCCCGACTCCCTAATTAGACTGCCAGCTGCCGTGCACGCTCTCTCTGCCTGACCCTTGTTCCTGCCTCACGGGACCTAGGCACAGAGCACTGCCCTCCCTGCCCAGGATCCGGAAGTAAAAATCTTTGAACTTGCTCCTATTGTGGTGTGTTCGATTTGCACCTGTCACCGGAAGAACCAGGGGCTGCCCCTGGCACACGAGGTTGGGCTCCTGGCGTAGCTGACACCCACCAGTATGAACAAGTGTCCTGTGTGAGGGGCCCCTGGTCACAGGTTGCACAGCCAGGCCTCAGGCCACCTGCCAGGTGTAGGGAGTGTCCCGTGAAAGGTGCGCCGTGAACACCGAGTCCAGCCCCCTTCGTTTCCCAGGAGGGCAGCATTGCTGGCTGCTCTGGTGCTGAAACCCCCTTTCACGGGGGCATATGATCCTCACCTGGGCCACGCAGGGGTGCTCAGGCCACCGCGAGGCCACACCCGGGCAGACACCGGCCCACCAGCCTCGGCAGAGCTGCCCCTGGGGCCGCAGGTCCACCCAGGCCTGCCCTTGTGTCTGTAGCTGTCCCTCCTCGCTGCGGGCAGGACTCCACTGTGCGGACACACCACGGTTTGCTTTTCCAGCATCTGTCGACAGACATTTGGGTTGTTTCTCATTTTTCCTATCACAAAAAAGCTGCCACGATCATTTGTGTAAAGAAAAAAAAAGCCACCCCCCGGGAAGGGTCCTAAGAGCATCCCAGGGACTCGCTGGCTGTGCCGGGTGAACACACCTCCTCCCAGGGCCACTCGGGAGCAGCCTGAGGTTGCTCCTTGCTGAGCACCTGCCCGTCCACACATGAGGCCACAGGACAGATGTGCATAGCCCAGCCTGGGACAGGAGGGGGCCGGGCCAGCACCTTCCCAGCAGGACAGGCCTTGCGGCTGCTGAAGAACCTTCTACGAGGCACTGCTGGCCGGGTTAGGGCATGCAGGACTCAGCACCAGGCATGTGACAAGGACAAGTCTTTGGGAACATTAAGTATCTTTTCCAAGCTGGGCATCGGGAGCTGGGGACCTCGTTTCTTTGTACATTGTAGGGGGTCCCCACGTGACTCATAACCCCCAGGGCCAGTTGACACAAAGACTGGCGTGGCAATGCCCTGTGGCCCTCCTGTGGGTGCCGGGGAGGAACTCAGGAGAGGACCTGGGGGCTGCACTGCTCTGGGCTGGCTCGGACCCCGGCGTTCTAGTGAAGGTGGCTCCACTGCCATCCCAGGCAGCTCAGCTGAGTGAACAAAAGCCCTGGGCCACCAGCTTTTCCGACATGACATATGACATCTGTGACACCTGGGAAGCTAGAATCTGCCTGGTGGGTGGGACCCGGTCTGCCCTATCCACCCAGACCTGGGCACGTGGCCCTGTCACGCACAGGAGGGGTGAGGGCCTCACAGCTGTCACCACCCGACTCCACCCTGCGCACCAAGACTCAGGAACAAGATGTGCTGGGACACTGCTCGATACCAAACGGCCTGGGGGCGGCTCGGACCGGGCTCTGGTCAGCTGCCTGTGATCTGCCCTGCTTGGGCCTTTGACGCTGGGTCCTCCTGCCCCTGCCAGCGACACCTCTGCACCATCCCTAGGTAAGGTGCCGGCAGCCAACAAGCCCCGGCTCGCCTCGGACAGTGGGAGAATCATGTATCTGGGTGCGGCCAACCTCATGTGGATTCGCAGCCCCGTCCCTGCATATGAAACACACGCCTTGCCGCCGTGGGGCCCGGTCTGTTCCTGTGAACAGCGGTGATGCCAAAGATGACAGGGACGTAAACTGAGTGGGGAAGGGGCAGAGCCTACCCCTCGCCAAAAACACGGGCCTTGGGGAGTCCAGAGGCTGCAGGGCCCAGTCAGTGCCCCGGGGCCCAGGGTGGAGCTGCAGGGCAGGGGTGAGGAGGGAGGCGAGGGGGCAGGCGCCTCCTCCTCCTCGTGCCCCCACTGTTTCTGGGACGTCAGAGCTGACAACTTCCATGCTCGGCTGTGACAGGCTGTGACAAGTGCCCAGAGCAGGGCTCCCTTAGCACCCGACAAGGGTCCGTTACTGCAACCTAAACCAAGGTCTCTTCTCTCCAATGTTTAAGTGTTGTGACAATCCCTCCAGGTGTGTCCCCAACATCCTGCTGGCCAGCTACAGGACACTGGAGGAGAATCAGTGTGGTTCTCCCAAAGGGAGGCCTGGGATGCTGGCAGCCAGCCCTGTCCAGCAGGCCAGGCCAGTGCCCAAGCGGGCGGCCCCTGCGCTTGGCATGGGCTGCACTCCTGCCCAGTACTGACATCCCAGTTTGGTGGCAGCAGTCCCCGCTATAGTTTCTTTCGTTTGTTTGAGACAAGGTCTCGCTCTGTCCCCCAGGATGGAGTGCAGTGGTGTCATCACAGCTCACTGCAGCCTCCAACTCCCGGGCTCAAGAGATGCTCCTGCCTCAGTCCCCAGAGGAGCTGGGACTACAGGAGCACCACCACCACACCCAGCTTTTTATTTTTTTGTAGAGACGGGGTCTGGCCCCTGCCCAGGCTGGCCCACTGTAACTTCTGACCTACAGAGAAGAGCGGGCACAGGGCCCTTCAAGGTTCCCACTGCAACTCTGTTCCTCCAATGGGAGCAAGAGGTGCATCCTCTGGCCCCTCCCACTGCAGGTGGGCGGGTCCCATGTGACAAACACCCCAGGACTGGGAGCCCTTGCCCCGCTGTGCACCAAGGTGGTTAGGCATGCCCACCTCACTCAGTGCAGCCACCCTCTGGCCCGCATCCCTCCTGCCCGGCCGGCAGAGCCCGCCCACTGCATGGCTTTCCTGTGGCCTGTCCCATGGACTGACCTGACCCGTCTATGCTCCAGCCAGCTGGGCCCACACACTCCCGACCCCAACACGTGTTCTCCAGACTCCTGCCTGGAAAGCTGGGAGCTCCGGGCTGTCCTGCCGGAGAGTGGCGCCTCCTCGGGTCACCCCCTGCCCAGGGCCTGCTGGATTCGAGGATGGGTCCAGGGCTAGAAGCGTGGTGGGGGTTGGGGGGGCCTTGCAGGGCAACTGCCTTGGGTGAGGCCACCCAGGCCTTCAGGTAGAGGGGGCTGGCCTCAGGCGGGGCAGAGGGGGCTCTTCTGGCAGCGACGGCAGACACAGGAGTTCGCAGTTCCTGGCTTCTGCAGGCTCTGCCCATAGGCCCCTGTCCCTGTTTTCAGGGTCCCCTCTTTCCCAATCAGTCCCCAGCTTCAGGCGCAGACACCGGCCAGGCTGGGCTTGGCCACGCACTCTGGGTGCACTGCCCGCTCCGGTGGCTCAGTCCTGCTTCCTGCCGAGTTGCCGCGCCGTGGGCCATAGGTCGCGGCTGCGACTGTGGCCTTGGAGGCTGTGAAGGGCCGTGCCTCTTATTCGCTACCCTCCTGCTTTCTGCCCAGCACTGTCTAGAGATGGCTCTGGCCACGCTTTCATCCTGCTCTCCTTGGAGACGGCGTGTCCCTCCCTGGCCTGCGTCGGCCTGGCCCTGCACACCGCGAGCCCTTCCACCAGCCCTGCCGTCCCCTTTTCCTGCCTCGTTCTCTAGGGAGTCCAGTTACTTCCTTCTCCTGATCCCATCCTCACCCCGCATGTCAGGAGCTCTTGTGGGCAGCTGCGTGAGCGTCTACAGCCTCCTGCGGCCTGGCCATGGGGACCACGCGGGGTATCCACGTGACAGCAGGTGGCGGGAGCTGCCCTGCCGTGCCCTGCCCAGGGGGGCACCTGAGGGCTCCAACCCTGAGTGAGGGAACCCGGAGACGCCTCCTCAGACACCTCCCACTCAAGCCTGCAGGTTGGCAACAGGAAGTTTATTGTAAAATACCCTCAGGGTGGCCCCACGCCAGGCCCCAACCGACATCTCCTACCCGGGCCGCAGAGGCCCAGGCACACGGCAGGTAGCGAGTCCTTGTCACGTGCTGATGTGTTTCACGAAGGGAAAGCCAGCCGCATGAAGAAGTTGAGGACTCAGTGGTCCCTGGGCCGAGACTTGCTGGTGCTCAGGGGCCCTTGCGGGGCAGCTTCTGCTCAAGGCGGGAGCCTCTCTCCCTCCGCATCTCCCAGAAGAGCGCAGGTCACGTGGGTGGGTAGAGCGACCAGACGCTGATGCGCTGATCCTTGGACCCTGCGGCCAGCAGGCCGCTGGCGGCGAAGGCCACACACTGGACAGCAGCACTGTGCAAGGCCAGCACGGCCAGCGGCTTCATTGTCCGCCAGTGGAACACGCGGATTCGGTGGTCCCAGCCTGCGGTGGCCAGGATCTTGCGGTCCGGCCGGATGGTGACCTCGGCGACCCCAGGGTTGGTGAGTTCGTGAGTTCCACGCACCTGCAAGAGTGGGCAGCAGAGAGAAGCGTCAGGCTGCTCTTCAGCCTGTCACAGTGGCCCAGCTGGAACCAGGAGAGCCAGGCAGTCTCGGGACATGGCAAGAGAGCCGCGCTCCTGCCCTGCTGACTCCTCCTCCTTCTCTCCCCTTCCTCCTTGGGAGCGCCTTTACTCTCGCTGACCCCTCGGGCCATGCCAGAGGATTTCAGCCCATCCCTCAGGGTGGTCTGTGGCCCTGCCCAGCTGCGCCTGGGCCTGCTCGAACCAACTCCCTCCCCCGACTCCTCCTACTCCCGGTCCCAGGAGAGACCTTGGTGGGGCCCCTTACCCCGAGGAAGATACTGCATCCTAGCACCTAGTAAGAGGCGAGGTTCCCAGCCTCTCTCTGGAAAAACCTCAGCAACCACCCCAAAGCTGACTAGTGTGAGAAATGCAGACTCCAGCCAGGAATCATGGCTCATGCCTATAATCCCAGATACTTGGGAGGCTGAGGCAGGAGGATCGCTTGAGGCCAGGAGTTTGAGGCCAGCCTGGGCAACATAGCAAGATCCCATCTCTAAAAAAAAAAAAAAATAGAAAAGAAAGGAAAAAACCTCCAACTGGACAGAGATTGAAAAGCCACTAAGAGTAGGAGCTGGAGGGTGTGGGCAGCATGAAAGAGGCAACATTGAAGTGGCAGGAGCACAGTGTGCCCCGCCCTGGCCTGGTTCTGAGAAGAGGGCGAGGCAGTGGCACAGCATGAGGACCCACACAGGCTCATGCTACGTGCATGGAGCCATCGGGAGGCTGGCCCCTCTCTGGGGCCGAGCGACCCCCACTCAGTGCCAGCCCCTTCCAGACACGTGCCTCTTGTGGGAAGCAGGGAGCTCCCAGGGGAATCGTGGTCTCTGTGGCTGCAGCGGTTCTTGGTCCTGCAGGACTATTCTGGGCGCTACAGAGCATCTTGCACCTCTGTGCCCACATGCTGAATGACAGAGGCACTTTGCCACCATGGTGACGACCAACACTGGCTGCCTTCCACACTAGCCCTGCGCACCCTGAGCTTTCCGCCAGCACCCTCTTATCTAAATGCCTCCCAATGGGGCCATGCCGCCCTCAGGCGAGAATCGTGCTTCTCCGCAAAGATGATATGGGAAAGAGGAGGAAAGAAACAGGAAACACAAATGGCAACATTCACCAGAAGCCAGTGGAAACTGTCACCAAGCAATTTTGCCATAAATTAACAGAACAAAAGAAAACTTGACGAATGAAGTTACCTCTGTACATTACTCTATAAAACAAGGACCCAAAGCAGCAAAATGCAGGGGTGGAAACGCAGCCTGGCAGGAACTAGGGAAAGAAACGGAGAAAAAACTCAAAGAAACGAAGAGGAATAGACACAGCAGAGGACGCTCAATCTGACAGTGAGGGCCCAGAGGGCAGGCGTGGCAAACAGCGAGCCAGTGAAAGGGAAACCGTTAAACCAACAGCAGAGAAGACAATAGACACGGAAGACAGGCGCAGCTGTCACTGCTTTGGTAGCAATTTTAATGTCTGTAAATTTAAGTCTCACGCTCTAAGTCCAAAGAAAGACTGTAGAATGGTTAACATTAAGATAGGCTCTAGCGAAATTACTGGACTGAATAGCTAAAGAAAAGCCCTCTTGGTAGCCAGGCAGGAAGAGCACGTGGTGAGGGGAATGCTGCGTGGCACATCCGTGCGCGCGCAGTGGGGTGATGCCTACTGAGGCCGAGGGAAGCGTGGTCCAAGAATTTTATATCCAGCCAAACTGTCGCTCAAGTACAAAGACAACAGACAAGCGTTTTTGAACATGTAAGAACTCAAAGAATACTGCTCCCATAAGCTCTTCGTAAAGGACTAGAAGATTAACTCCAGTCACATAAGAGATACCTGGAGAACTACAGCAAATGGCCTGGCAGAGAGCACCGAATGTACTTACCTGCAGGATTAGGTCTAAGACAATATGGGGATTATGGCTACAGAACCGGTTATGTAACTAACGGAAACGTGGGCGGGAACCAAGAGGGGTGGGATGAAGGCCGAGTTCACGGATTTGCCCGTCTATTGTCATTTGGGGCAAAAGATACAGTAGATACCTGACGGTCGCCGTAAGCAATGACCGGAGCAGCGCTGTTTCCTTCTCCTCTCCCACCCGACAGTGGATGCCTTACTTTCCTAGTATTTGTCCTTGTATATCTGCACAGACTAAGAAAAACGTAAATATACGCCACAGTTTTATGATTGGATTCCAAAGTCAAGTCCGAATCTGCGCTATGTGTAAGAGAGACGCCAAAGGAACAGCAGGCAGAGATGCAGTAGGAGAATCAAACCAGAGAACAGGGCCCCTCTTCAGCAATACTGCATGTGATGCTGAACCGTGATAAAGGGCACAGTTTCCCAGGAGCAGCTATAATGTCTGGCCAGCAGTGAACAGGCTTATCATCCACAAAGCGAGAGTGACAGGAAGTAGCTATAACAGAGCAACTGGTACCAGACTAGTCCTCTTGCTGCAAACAACCATCAACATGGACAGAAAGTCCCAGGTGACTGTTTCCAGGCACAGGACATTAGGCAGAGAAGGGCGGCTGAGGAGGTGGGCTCCCCAGTGCCCCCGCAGCTCTCTGCCTGGGGACAGTGTGCCCTGGCCACGTCCAGGCAGAACAGAGTGGTCACGGCAAGCTGGGGAGGCAGAGGTCAGAATATGGGGCGGCCCGAGGGCTGCAATCTGTGGGGGCGACTTGGAGGAACAGAGGGCGCTGAGGGGCTGGGGTGGCCGTGTGTGGTTCCCCACCAGCCCTTGTGCTGGGCTGGGCTGCGCATGCTCAGGCAGACTACATAGGGCTTCCCAGAGCTGCAGGGCTCATGACAGGTACGAGAGGCCAACGGTGCCAGGGTCAGGCTGGCCCAGGTGCAAAGACTGCATGACGACTCAAGACCAGCGGAGTCTCCAGAATGGCCCCATTTCAGGAACAAAGATCCCATGTTAGAGTGAGGCCCACCCTAGACCTACCGTAGCAGAGCCAGAAACCAGGCCCTGACAAGGTCTGATGGGGAGGCAGAGTGTGGAAGTTGAGTTCCACCACCCTGGACGAGCCTGGAGCAACCTCTCCCCGACCTGCCCTGGCAGAGCCCGAAGCCACACCACACACGCTTACGGTGCCAGGAACGGAAATGTGTGCTGGAACACATGCAGACACTCTTCAGAGCAAAGTAACAGAATCCAGAGTCTCCATCCCGTGTCACTTCCGCAATGTCTGACAACAACAATCAATCACTAGACCTGCGGAGAAGCAGGAATACATGACCCACAGCCAAGGGGAAAAGCAGTTAATAGAAACTCACTCCCCAAATGGATGTTGAATGGATCAGATAAAGACTTTAAAGAAGCTACTTAAATAGGTTCAAGAAATGAAAGGAAAATATATTCAAATAATTACAAAAAGGTTGTCTTGATGAGTGAGCACATAGGAACTATTAGCACAGACACAGGAATTATAATAGAAAATATGGAACTGAAAAACTCAGTATCTGAAATGAAAAATTTATAGGACAGGCTTAACAGAAGATTGGAAATTATGTTTTCCAAAGTCAGTGAGCTAGAAGACAGATCCACAGACATTATCCAACCTGAAGACAAGAAAGAAAAAAGATTAAACACAAATGAACAGAGCCTCGGGGAGCTGTTATCAAACTGTCTAACTTATAGAAGCCCCAGAAGGAAAAGAAAGTGAAAATGGTCAAGAAAAAAATAATGGCTGAAAATATCCTGATTTTAATGAAAAACACCAATTTCTATCTTTTCTTTTTTTCCTTTTTTTCACCCACTTATTGAACTTTTTCAAAAACACCAATTTATAGATCAAAAGCTCAGCAAAACCCAATCAGCATCAGAAAAAAATATATACCTAAGCATAGGATAGTCAAACTACTGAAAACCGTGGATAGAAATAAAATCTTGAAAGCAGCCGTGGAGCAAGACACATCCCGTGCACGGGAGGGATGAGGCATCGTGAGTTGGCGGCAGAAATAACAGAACGACGTTTTTACGTCTAAACAAAACCAAACCATCACCCCTCAAGTCTACAGCCAGGAGAGCGACATAAAGACACTTCTCAGATCGACAAAAGCGAGAGAAATTTTTTGCCAGCAGAACGACAGTACAAGAAATGCCCAAAACTGCCTGGTCTGTGGGAAGAGCCCCAGAAATGGTGATGGGTGAGCAGATATAAAATATTTCAAATATCTTCCCAGTTTGAAAAAAACCTGATGACTTAAAGCAAGACGAATACTGCAAGGTGGAGTTCACAATGTGTGCGGAAGTCAGCCGCCGGCAGCAGGAACCGCACTGGTACGAGGGCAGCACGTTCGCAAGGGGGGAGGGAACAGCACTGGCTCTAGGAGACTTCTGGAAGGATGCCCACTGTTAGCCCGTGAGCAGCCACTCAGGAAAAAGCATGACAAGAGGTACAGCTGAGAAGGCAAGAAAGGGAGTAAAATGGAATACTAAAAATAAATGTTTGATTAACACAAAAGCAAGCAGAGACAGAGCAAAAGAGGTGAAAAACGGAGGTGCCAAGTGGAAAACAAACACAGAGATGGTGGATTTAATCCCAGACACATCCATGATTGCACTGAACGCAAACAGACGAAATGCTCCAATTAAAAGGCAGAGAGTGTCGACAAAGATCAAAAAGCAAGATGTAGCTATATGTTGTCTACAAAAGGTGCTTTTTAAACATAAAAGTTGGAGATGGGTTGGACGTGGACACAAGGAAAAAGATGCGCCACGCAGAGAGCAAACGCGAAGAGTCGGTGCCGCTGTTCAGCACCAGACGAAGCCGACTGCGAGATGAAGAACGCCACGAGAAACAAAGGGAGAAAAGGGTCCTTCGCCGGGATGATGTGACTGTCTCAAAGGTCGTATACCCACAGCGGAGCTTCGGAACTCACAAAGCAGAACTGCAGAGTTAAAGGGAGGAACAGGCACGTTCACAGTCGCTGTC